CACCCCGACCCCCACCCCAAAGGGTCCCTGCTGCCCTCTTAGGGTTCCCGAGGTGCGGGGCGGGGCTCCACAGGACCCTATCCCCAGAGTTTCCATCCTGCCTCAATTCAGACCAGACCTTCGGTCTCTACACATGGTGCCAAGGAGGAGGGTCCCGACCTCCTTCCCGGGCCTCCCCACCTGCGGCCCCGCGGAAGGGAGGGGAGGCAGGCCCGGAGGCGCTCGTGTGAAGAAGTTAATTCAATTCGCTCTGGTAACCGAGTTATTCTGATCCGGCCCCTCAGCCCCGCCCCCAGTAAGGTCCAGTACCGGCGAGGACGGCGGAGGCGGCCCAGGAGGGGGTATGGAGACAAGGACGAGGAAGAGACGGAGCGTGGGACAGCGACGGGGAGGGGACGTGGATATAGAGAGGAGACGGGGACGGAGACAGGGAGAGGAAGGGACAAACAGTGATGGAGAAAGGGAGAAGAGAGATACGGGTACACGGATGGAGACAAGGATGAAACGTGTACAAGAGACGGGTAGAGGTGGGGACAAGGCAGGGACAGAGTAGGACACAAGGGTAAGAGAGAGACAGAGAGGAGAAAGTGAGATAGATATGGAGATCTGGGATAGGGATGAGGAGGGATGGGACCTGGACAGCAGCAAGGATTATGGTGGAGACGGCAGAAGGATGAGACAAAACAGGGACGGTAATGGTGAGACAGACACGGCAGAGGGACAGCCTCAGAGAAACAAGGCCAGGCACAGACGCAAGCGGAGGAACAGAGGCTGACGGGCGGAGAGAAAGAGCCTCTGGAGAGCTGATACCCGCGAGCTGGAGTGCGGGGGTGGGGGGGCCGAGGGATTGCGATGGAGGCGCTGCGGGGCGGCCCGGCACAAGGCTGCCGAGGGGGGTGTCGCTAGAGCTGAGTCCCTCTGGCCTGACTAGTCCTGAAGACCACATGAGCCCTCACCTTTGCACCTTCAGGGCTGGCCCGCCGATCTGCCTCTCCCCTCCCCCAGTTGCCTCAGCTTAATCCTTCTCCCCAACTCTGCCGGGTGTGACCCTCTGGTGTGACCCATGGGCACAGGGTGAGTGTCTGTGTGTGTGATGGATGTCAGGAAGGGGGAGTAACCCAGTGACCCATTTACTTTCCTTCAACCTCTCCTGTCCTCCAGAGGCCCCTTTCTTCTCCAGGAAAACCACCTAGACTCAGTCTGTGCTTGGCCACAGACGTCCCTGTCCCTCCATCCCCGCATGGATTCAGTCACTGGCTGTTCATGCTGTGGGACAACCCCACGCACTCAGAATCCTTACCAGGAGAATGGAACAGTCTGCCCCTGCCACACTGACCTGAGGTGGATAGAGCATTTTCCCCACCCAGCCAGCCCCCAGCCTTCTCCACTGGAGGCTTGGCAAGTCCTGCAGATGGGGAGTCTGAGACCCTGTGAGAAGCCAGGAGAGGGGCATGTCCTTGTTACTAGCCAAAGTCCTTGGTGGTTGAGAGGAGGACTCCTGGACTTCCTCTCCCTCAAGTTTGCCAACACAATGGGGAGCATGCCCCTCCTCAGGTCACCCCCTTCATTTCTTTGAAGTGTTTTCTCAAGCTACTTTTTTTTTCAAGTTATTTTATTGTGGTAAAATACACAACATAAAATTTCCTAACTTAAACATTTTTAAGTGTACGTTTCAATGTTATTAAACACATTCATAATGTACAACCACCACCATCATTTATTTCCATAACTCTTTTCGTCTTGTAAAATCAAAACTCTGTACCCATTAAACCCTGGCTCCCCATTCCCTCTGACCCCCAGTCCCTGGCACCCCCAGCCACTGTCGCTACTACTCTAAGTATCTATTATAAGTGTAATCATATGGTGTTTGTCTTTTTGTGACTGGTTTATTTCACATAGCATAATGTCCTCAAAGTTCAACCATGTTACAGCAGGTGTCAGAACTTCCTTTTTAAGGATGAATAATATTCCAACGTATGTATATACCCCTTTTTCCTTATGCATTCATCCATCAGTGGATACTTGGGTTGCTTCCACCTATTGGCTGTTATGAATAACATTACTATGAATAAGGATATGGAAATACCTCTTTGAGAGCCTGCATTTAACTCTTTCGGATATATACCCAGAAGTGGAATTGCTGGGTCATATGGTAATTCTACTTTTACTTTTTGAGGAACTGACGTACTGTTTTCCACAGCAGCTATGCCATTTTACATTCCCACCAACAGCGTACAGGGTTCAAATTTCTCCACATCCTCATCAACACTTGTTATTTTCTATTTTTCTCAAATTACCTTCTAGGCTTAAACTTGTAGGGGTTGAGCTCAACTGTTTAAAAAGTTCTTTTCACGGGTGTGTGAAGTGCAGCTCTGCCCCTGGACACATCCTCTATGGAGAGCCCAAGGGATCTCAGAATTGGGAGATCAGACTGGGCCACCGCTTCCCTTAGGCCCTCCCGTGGTAGGAACAACTGAAACTTGCCTGCAGGGACAAGCAGAGATTTTAGGGGAGACAAAGAGGCCCAATGCTGCTTAACATCCTGGTGCCAGCTGTCTCAGAGACCACAGTCCAGCCCTGTCATTTCTACAGTTTGGTCCTTGAGCCAACAAATTTCCTTCTGTCTAAACTACTTGTAGTTGGGCTTCTGATAAGTGCAACCAAGAGTTCTGACCAATACCATCTCTAAAGGCTTGACACCTGTATATGCAACCAAACAAATGGCAGTGGTGGTTAGAAGTTTTATTGTAAAATGCATGTTACAGGCTTAGCTGGGCATTTGCTGGCCTTCCCACGCCTCAGGACTGTGGAGGTGGAGGTTTCTCTCTCTGCAGTCCGTCATTTGCATTTGCTGATTAGCACGGGAGCTGAGAAGCAGCCCAAGAAGCTGCCTTGAACCTTGTCCCCTATTGGGTGCAGACCAGTATCTCCAGTTCTTTCAGATGGTGGAGATGCGGAAGTGGGGGGACTTTGAAGGTCAGGCTGCACGCATATGTGTGTGTGTGTGCATGTGCTGTTGTGTATGCGTGTGCATGTGTGTGGATGTGAGAGATGGAGGCAGAGTGGGAGGTACTCTGCAAGGGCCTCACACCAGAGGAGCTGGTAGTTGAGAGTCTGATGTGGGGAGCTCATCCTGACTGAGACCCCCTTCCCCCAAAATGTGTGTATTCCCAGGGAACTAAAAATGCTCTGGCATGAGATGCTGTCACAGCAAAATTGCTGTGATGCCTCCTTGTTGAGCACGATGTCTTCACTTCCATGAGTTATGATGAGTTTTGGAGCCTGATTGCTGGGCTCCAGGTCTGGCGCTGTCACTGATGAGCTGTGTGACTTATGGTAAGTCACTCAACCTCTTTGTGCCTCAGTTTTCTCACCTGTAAACCAGTTTATTTTAATAAGTTAGATAAATTAAAATATATAAAATGTTTGAATAGTGCCTGGCACATAGTAAATTAGCTACTATCACCACCCTCACTATCCCTTCTCCCTCTTTTACCTGGTGACTAAGCACTGTGTGACTGACAGACCCAGATCCAGACCAGACTCTGGCCAGGCTTCTCTTATTCATTACACCTAATACTTGGATACACAATCTAGACACCCTAGTTTGCACCGCAGCATCACCTCTACCCACGAGATTTTAGAAGACATCGGGGTTCTGCAAAGTTACCCAGCCCACCCCCTTCATTTTTTAGATGAAGAGACTAAGGCCCAGGGAGGGATCCTTAGGAAGAGTAAAATAAAAACAGTGGACTGTGTCAGGGTGGGAGGTTCCACCACAGAGGGAGCAGCATGCAAGAAGGAGCCTGGGGTGTGTCCAGCGGAGACTGTCCTGTATCTTCTGCTCTGGTCCCAGCTCTGACCCTACCCTGACTTACTCTCTGAGCCTGGGCAGTGGCAGCACCATGAGAATGGAGGAGGAAGGACCCATGTCCCGGAGAACTCTTTCTGCCAGTGGTCATGTGGAGAGCATAGCCTGGAGATTCCCAGGTACCACCACCTATTCCCACTTCTACCATCTTAGCTTCCCCTCAGAGCTCTGAGCAAGGATCTCCTAGGCTCAGAATGTGGCCACCATGCTGGTTTATTACTCCAGTGCACTCCTGGTCTGTCCTTCTCTCCTATGGGGTAAGGCAAGGAGCAGCTCCTCCTTCCCATCAGCATGCATCTTCTCACCCTCTGAAGCAACGTCCTCAGTGTCATCACTGTGCAATTATGATTGGAAGCCAAGCTTGATCAGATGTCAGGGTCTAGGGCCGGCCCGGTGGCGCACTGCTACAGTGTGCCGCTTGGGAGCGCGGCGGCGCTCCCGCCGAGGGTTCGGATCCCACATACAGACCAGTTCCCGCTCACTGGCTGAGCGAGGTGCGGG